ATTATAGGAGTCCTGGTATGGCACTGTGGGATAATGCCCTGAACTGCAAGATCCGTTTGAGCTTCAAGGTCGATGATTCAAATTTAACAGCCACTCCTTGGAAACCCTATAGACGGTTGTTTTGAGTGGCGCTGATTTGATGTTGCTTAGCAACATAGAATGTTAGACATCGAGACTAACCTTTTGTGGTGTCTTTGTATATACTGAAGTTACCCTGCTGTCTTCTAGGTAGTCATCTAATTCCCATAGAGGGACTTAAATCCGAAAGTCCAGGTTCTTAATCTAGGATTGTGTTCCCACTAGGGAGTCTTAGTGTGGTGCTGTGGGATAAGCGCTGGACTGCTAACTGCAAGGTCATTGGTTCAGACTCACTAGCCGCTCCTCAGAAACCCTATACGGTCGCTATGAGTGGGAACCAGTTTGACGGCACTTAACAAATCCAGCATTTGCACTGTATTTTTCTGTTGCACATAGATATTCCATAAAGTTTCTTAGCACTAAAACTTCTTTAATTTTGCTTTCTCGAAAAATGAATAAAAGAAAAAAAACTGATGGGATATTTTGTTTGTCTTTAATATACTTCAAATACCTCATGGAAAAATTTCATTATTTATTTCATGTCTTTCATGTAGTTTTTGAAGCCCCATTGTACTTAATGGGGATTCAGAATTTCTTTTTGGAAATATTGGAATAGAAAGGCAGAGGCAGCAAAGTTTAAACTTGTGGTTTTAGATTGTCTTTTCTGTTTCTGGATAAATGGTTACATTTAGGAACAATTTTGTCTCTGCTGAGTTTGCTAAAATAAAAATTATCTTACTACAAACACCTAAAAATAGCAAGTAAACTTTATCAAACTTTAAAAAAATTCTGAACGTGACCTTGTAAAAAAGAGGTGTCTTAAGATGCTAGAAATAATGAGACAGCTGTAAATTAGAGAAAAACGTGAACTGATCTGGTTGCTGACCTCAGTGGGTGGCTGTTTAGTACAGTAGCCTTCTGGCTGGTTTCTGACTTCCATGTGGAGACCAGCAATGTGATCTTGGACGACACACCTATGGGAGATTTTGCACTGAGAGCCCTGTTTAAAGCTAGGACCCTCCAAAGTCTTTTTCTTCAGTAAAAGGATATACCAGAAAGAATAACAAAATCTGTTCACCAGCACAAAACTCCCTCCTGGAGAATCAAGTCCTCTTACTAAGATCTTCTGAAAATTTTGTTTGACTTTATACTGTATATGTTATTGAGGATACCACAGGATTACAAAGTGAAAATTATTGCTAGTCTTGCAAAGGCAGCCCTGCCTCCTTCAGAACCAGAAATTGGCCCAGTCTCAGAGTATATAAAAGAGGTGGAAACTGTAACAAGAAAAAGGTTTCTGGTGATGTAAAAGTGGCATTTTTCTTGTTTCTTCAGATAATTAGCTTCTGCAATCTTCCCTTTGTTTTTCATAGTTCTTACAGAATTGTGTTTACACATTTCTAGTTGCTGTCCTTATTGATCATACGAAAGATAGGGATCAGCCTGGTAGTCATGCTCATGCTACCATCTTCCTGGAAGTCTGAATTTTGTTTTCTTCAAATTTTTTTTTTACTGGAGTTTTAAGTTTGTATGCAGTCTGATCTCTTAGCCTTTTTCTTTATGATTTATGGCTGAGATATATGTTCACATGTATATTTTGGCATGCTTCTCCAGCAGAGCGTTGTCCTCTCTTATGTCAGTATCACCCTGCCTCCTCCCCTCCCCTTCAGAACTTTCTTAACTAGATTGCATATACAGGTTTTCCAGATAAACTTCAAGGTAATTGGTTTTAAACATTAAAAAATTATGATTATGAACACAACTATGTAAATTTCTGTTCTAGTTTAGGTAGAATCTAATTAATTTATGCCATTACATTTATTACATTCATCCCATTACACTTCTCAGTTCGTATAGCTCTTTCAAATTTACTGTCTTTTAATCTTTATAGTTAATCCTTTGAGGTATTTGTTTCAAGTGTTAGATGCACATTGGAATCACCTGGAAAGTTTTCCAAATTACAAAGAACTGTTGCTTGTGTCTACCCCTAAAGATTTTGCTCTAATTGGGATAGAATGCTCTCTGGGCTCTGGGGAATTTAAAAACTCTCAGGAATTGTAATGTGCTCATAAGGGCTTAACCAGGTGTTACTGAACCATAGAGAAGTTGTGGTTTTCTCAGGGTTACACTGTAGGTATGTGGTAAAGTCAGGTCCAGTCTCTAAATGTAGTAGTCTTTACCCTTTACTCTGACTCATACCCTTTTAAAAGTTGGTAAAATTGGCAGTGATATTTTTACTGAAAATAAAAAGAGCCTGCACATCTGAGCTAAAAACTGAGTTTAGGGGACATTTGGGGAATAAAATTTACTACTAGAGTCTTTGATTTTTTACTTTTTTTTTTTAAAGAAAATTGAGAAATATATTTCTAAGAATCTGTAATTACTATATTGGAGAATGGCAGGCAGCCATTATAGCAAGATACACAGGGCTTAGTCCATTTCTCCTATGTAAGTTTTAATGTATTTTTATAAGGAAGCACAGTTTTAGAAATGCTAAGGAGCAGTTACACATTATAATTGTATCTCAATCAGATTGACAAAGAACTTCCAGAGTTACAAGCCAGATTCAGAAGAGGACAGGGAACAAGGGATATCATTGCTGACATCAGATGAATCTTGGCTGAAAGCACAGAATACCAGAAAGATGTTTGCTTATGCTTTGTTGACTACGCAAAGGTTTTTGACTATGTGGATCATGACAAGCTGTGGACAACATTGCATAATATGAGTATTCCGGAATACTTAATTGTGCTCATGAGGAGCCTGCACATAGACCAAGAGGCAGTTGTTTAAGCAAAACACAAGAATACTGAATGGTTTAAAATTAGGAAAGGTGTGCGACAGGGTTGTTTTCTTTCACCATACTTATTCAACTTGTATACTGATCATACAATCCAAGAAGCTGAGTTGTATGAAGAAAAACATGTCATCAGGATTGGAGAAAGACTCATTAACAACTTGTGATATGCAGGTGAGACAACCTTGTTTACTGAAAGTGAAGAGGACTTAAAATACTTACTGATGAAGATCAAAGACCTAGAGGCAGTTGTTCAAACAGAACAAGGGGACACCGAATGATTTAAAAGTAAGAAAGTTGTGTGCCAGGGTTGTATTCTTTTACCATACTTAATCAGACTGTATGCTGAGCAAATAATCTTAGAAGCTGGATTATGTGAAGAAAAGCATGGCATCAGGATTGGGGGAAGACTAACACACAACCTGTGATATACAGATGAAAGCAGATAAGGACTTAAAATACTTACTGATAAAAATCAAAGACCATAGCCTTCAGTATGGATTGCATCTCAATATAAAGAAAACAACAATCCTCACCACTGGACCATAAAGAACATCTTTATCAATGGAAAAATGATTGAAGTTGTCAAAGACTTCATTTTGCTCAGATCAGCCATCAACATTCATGGAAGCAGCAGTCAAGAAATCAAACGACACATTGCATTAGGCAAATCTGCTGCACAAGACCTTTTTCAAGTGTTGAAGAGCAAAGATGCCAGCTTGAGAACTAAGGTGCGCCCGACTCAAGTCATGGTATTATTAGTAACCTTATATTCATGTGAAAGTTGGAAGGTAAATAAGGAAGACTGTTGAAGAATTGATGCTTTTGAGTTATGGTATTTGAGGAGAATATTGAAAGTACCATGGGCTGCCAAAAGAACAAACAAGTCTGTGTTGGATGAAGTACAGCCAGAGTGCTCCTTGGAAGCCAGAATGACCACAGTTCATCCGTCATACTTTGGACATATTGTCAGGAGGGACCAGTCACTGTAGAGGGATATCATGTTTGGTAAGGTGGAGGGTCAGAGAAAAAGAGGAAGACCCCCAGCGACATGGATTGGCAAAGTAGGCTCAAGCATGGCAACAGTTGTGAGGTTGGCCCAGAATTGGGCAGTGTTTCGTTATGTTGTGCATAGGGTTACTATGAGTCTGTACCAACTCGATGGCACCTAACAATAATGGCCCTTAGCTAGTATTGGCTTCCCCAAACATGGCCTGAAGACATCAGTGTCCCGGAGTTGGGCTCATCCGAGAGGTATTAGACTGGGAACAGGGTATGAGTGGGAGAGCACTGGCTTAGACATTAATTGCTTTGCTTTTCCCTCACGGACTTCATACTGGTCAGGGCAGACTTCCCAGGGCTGTGGAAAAGCAGTCAATACCTCATTGAAAACATTGGTTGCCCTTGAGGCTAGTAGGCCCCACTCTAATATCCAATGAATACTCTTGAAGCCACCTCAGCAAGTGGCACACTTGGCATTAAATCCCAATACTATAGCTTAGAATAGTGATGTTGTCCGTATATCTGCCTAAGGGAATGGAGTTTGATCCTGACAGCTCCCGGTTCTAGGCCATGGATCCTCATTGAACTGATTCCTTCTAAGTCCTCGTATTCTTATGCAAACCTCCACATGTCTGCCTGTCCCAGGATGAGCCTTCACCTATCTCTACCCTGTCCAGCTGTTGAGCCAACACTCATTGGGTAAGAAAGGCTGTTCGTTAATAATCAGGCCAGCCCCTGCTTAGCTGAAAAGATTGGGTAAAGTCAGGCTTCTGTGACCATTAGAAACCACTAGGAAATCATGCTTCCAAGAGAAATATTTCACAGATGAATTTTTCAAACAATCTGCTTAATTATGGCACATGACCTGACAATGTTTCATTCTGGTGTGCATAGGGTCTCAGCGTTGGAATTGACCTGATAGCTCCCAACAACAATAGCAACACTAATTATTATTCTATTCAAAATCTTGTAACAATTTATCCTACATTTAGCTTTTTTTTTAAAGCAGGTTAAAGGAAATGAAACATAATGAGTTTTTATCTTGCTGCGCACAAAATCATTTTTGAAGATGAAAACCTGTATTACACTTGAATTAACTAAGACCTTTCTTTCCTTGTTTTAGACCAACAGCTGCAGAACTGTTACGGCACAAATTTTTCCAGAAAGCAAAGGTAGGAAATTCTGCCTTTTGACTATGTATTCATATTATTTTCTCTGTTTATCCTTAATTATATTTAGTGTTTATTTTTATTATTGTTAAGTGCTTTTGAGTCGGTTCCGACTCATAGTGACCGTGCATCGGGTTTGAGGAGCAACCTAGTGGGTTTGAGCTGCCGAGCTTGTGGTTCACAGCCCTATGCTGATTCCACAGCGCCATGGCAGAAATCCATGTTTAGAAGTTGGATTTCTTAAGATGATTAAGATAAATGCTGGTCTAAAATTAAACTTGGAATTGAGTAGAAGTATCTTTTCATATTAATTTAGATAACTTAAGCTTACAATGTGAATGATGAATATTAATAATAAGAAAACACTTTTTTCTTATCAGAATAAAGAATTTCTTCAAGAAAAAATACTGCAGAGAGCACCAACCATTTCTGAAAGAGCCAAAAAGGTAAATGGAGATTTTACTCAGTTGTAGGAATTTGCTTATAGAACATTTACATTTACTATATTTGAAGGTTTGGAAAGCTTATGTTAAATAACAGTTTGTTAGCATATGAGTAATACTCATTTCAGTCTTTTCTATAGCCTTCTTTGAAATGTTAGTTCAGCAAATATTTATTGTTTTGTTATACTAGATATCACATACTACCATAGTGATTGTGAGTTTACATATAGTGTTTAAAACTTACCATATATTTAGTGTTACCATATAAGTGACAGTACCCTCTTCTGAAGCAGCTGTGGTAGTGTAGTGGTGTTTACAAGTTGGGCTGCTAACCTCAAGGTTAGCAGTTCGAAACTACCAGTGGTTCTGCAGTAGAAAAATGACGCTTTCTGCTGCCATAAAGATTTACAGCCACGGACACCCTATAAAGGTCACTGAGTCAGAACCAACTCCAGGAACCCCCATCACCACCACCAACATCCTTTTCTGAATACAAACTTTATACTGCTTTTACTTAAGTACTGAAGGAAACTTGTTATGCATATGAGGGGACTTCAGAACTTCATGGAAAACGGAATTAAAAGATAATGGGCTTTTTCATGAACTTTTTGAAGTCCCTTGTATATAATTTCTAAGGAGTTTTGTCATAATGCAAACCCAAACCAGAGAATACATTAAGATTCTAGTTTGGGCAAAATACATTTATGAGTTTTTCTGCTGTGATAACATTTGCGAACCTTTGGAACAGCTGTTATTAAGTGCCGTTGAGTTGGTTCTGACTCATAGTGACCCTGCATAGGATTTGAAGAACAGCTGATGGGTTTGAACTGTCAACTTTGTGGTTCACAGCCCAGTGCTTATCTTACAGCACCATACCAGGAGTCCTTTGGAACAATAGGGAGGGGGAAATGCTCCCTTTCCTCTGCTCAAAGACTAATTCACTATCAAAGAAATAAGGCTTTCTGGCCTTCTGCTGATCATGAACTTAAAGGAGAAGGTAAAAAGTTATCGTTCAATATAGTGGTAGCTAGCCAGGAAATCAGCTCTCTTCAGTACAACTCACTGGTATTACTTAAAAGATTATTAATAATAAAGAACCAGAAAAGTATAAACACTTTGAAGTTACTTTTCCACCAAGCAGTATAATCTGTCAGATCCCTACAGTAGACAGGTTACTTTTGCTGTCTGTCTAGATACTAAGATAGGAAATCTAGTTATCATGAGGACAGACATAACGTTTCAGCTACTATACTTTTTAGCTCTAGAACTTTTATTTAGTTTAATAATTTTAATCTTTTTATTGACATTTCCTGCCTGTTCAGACATTATTCTCTTGATATGTTTTACTTCTTATCCATAGGAAGTATCCTTTTCTTTATAGCTCATTTACCATACGTAGGATACTTGATTTCACTTCTTCACAGGTAATTCCAGTTCTGGGCTTTCTTAGCGATATTTTATGTCAGATTTTCTTTTCCTATGAATGAGCCATAATTTTTTTCTTGTTTATTATTTTTTGTTGGAAAATGGGACATTTTTAGTATTATAATTGATAACTCTGAAAATTAAATTCTCCCCCACCTCAGGGATTGCTGATTTTAGCTTGCTGAGGCCTACACCTAGTCGCTTGTTGAGTGATAGTTGTAATCTATTTTTGAAAAATTCGTATTCTTTGTTGCATGTGGTCACTGACATTTCTTTTCCGTTATCTCTACAGTTAGTTAAATGACCTGACAGTGATTTCATTAAATGTTTTGTTTCAATAGGAAAACAAAAAGTGTCCTCTTTAAAAAAACATCCCAATAGCTAATTTTGGAGAAAGCCACAGAGTATAAACCCACTTCTGCTGAATGGATTTCAACTCATAGCCACCCTGTAAAACAGAGTAGAACTGCTCCCCATAGGATTCCTGAGCCTGTAAATCTCTATAGGAGCAGACACCTTCATGTATGTCCTGCAGAATTTTTGGTGGTTTTGCACCGCTGACCTTGTGTTGAACAGCATAAAAGAGTGTAAAGCATGGCAGACATGTGCACTAGTTGTTCAAGGAACTACTTAGACTGGCCAAAACATTAAACCCCCATTTTTATTTCTTATTTTTTAAAAAACTTAAGGAATTCATTGCAGTTTGCAGAGCACATCATCAATTTTTTTTTTAATGTTTTATTGTGAATTATGTGATAGTTTACATGGGATAACATTAGTTTTACATTCATCCTATCGTATATTGTCTCATTGCCACATCATCAGATTTTTTAAGGAGATCTTTACAGCTCACCTTGACCCAATCAGCCAGTCAAATGCTGTGTGCCACTAGCCCCACAACTGCTGTGGGGATAAGAACTGGGAATGGTATTTGGTTTATGCCTGTTAGTCTCATTCCCTTCATCAAGCACTGCCTTGACAGTTTTAAATGTCCAGTCTGGAATAGTTAATTCTTTCAGTGGGGAGACTGACTTTTAGGGCTTCCTGTTTTCCCATTTTCTATGACATTATTCCATAAGGAGGATCTTGGTGCTTGTTTGGGCTTAGAGTGAGTATAGAAGTATAGGGAAAGTTAGTGCTTGTGAGAAAGACACAGAAGGTATTATGAGCAAAGGAAATGTGAGAGTTGGAAGATTAGAATTTTAGAAAACTTAATTATGGAGAAAAATAATGATCTACTTAATTAATTCATTTAATAGATATGACTTGAGTGTTCAATTTAGTAAATGTTGGACCTTAATTCATATTTCTCTTTTTAATGAGCAGGTTCGGAGAGTGCCAGGATCCAGTGGCCGTCTTCATAAAACTGAGGATGGTGGCTGGGAGTGGAGTGATGATGAATTTGATGAAGAAAGTGAGGAAGGAAGAGCAGCAATTTCACAACTTAGAGTAAGTTTTGTAAATACACTTTAGTTTGAGATCTTTGTCTGAAACCTAACAGATAATCCTACTAATAATATCCTCTTTGGTTCTTGTTCGACTTAATCAGTTAAAATATAAAGAATCATGTGTTAGTGATATAATTTCTTTGAAGAACTTACTAACAGAAGCAGTGAATTCTCTGTGGAAAATTGGTCTGGTACTATTGCTTGCATATAATAATATCTAGATTACATGAAAAAGACCCAAATGGAATTTCTAGAGATAATGAAAACTGCAGTGTTTAAGATGAAAAGTATTGTATTAATTTCTGCCTTCTATTAATATGGAAAATATCAAATAATATCATTAAAATTACACTCAAAGTTTTGTTGAAGATAATTCAAAAACAGTTGTAGCAGTATATCGATGGGGAACTTGCTAGACAATCAAGTTGGGGAGAAGAGAACATGGAATGGGGAATATCATTCCTCATGTCAGATCGATTTCAGCTTAAATCAGAGAATGCCAGAAAGAGGCTTACTTGTGTTTTAGTGATTATGACTATGTGGACATAACAAATTATGAATAAAATTGTCAGTAATGGGAATTTCAAAACACTTAATTGCCGGGGTCTGACCTCGACATAGTTGTGTTGTTCATGAGTGTTTGGTTCACGAGGAGGGGAGATCCAGTGGCGATAGGGATAGCGAAAGAATACACAGACAAACAGAAGAAGGGAGACAATGAGGCACCCCAAAGCCAGGGTGGATACATTACTGGCGGGCAGGCTTGGGACTATA